CTATTAATGATACAAATCTTGCTGGTAAGGTTATTGATCAACCAAATGCTGATGACCCTATCACAGAAGCTATTAATGATACAAATCTTGCTGGTAAGGTTATTGATCAACCAAATGCTGATGACCCTATCACAGAAGCTATTAATGATACAAATCTTGCTGGTAAGGTTATTGATCAACCAAATGCTGATGACCCTTTCATAAATGCTATAAATGATATAAGACTTGCTGGTAAGATCATTGATCAACCAAATTTGACAACAGATAACTCAAAAAGGTATTTGAAGTATCATTTTTCTACAGAAATACTTAAAAATTACAATTTGTCTATAAAATAAACTTATGTTTTTAAAAATCTTTCCAGTAAACTTGGTGTCTTGAAACAATCAGTAAATGCTTCCATGCATATAGTAGAATCAAACGACGCTCGTAATGAAATTTTAAAATCATATTATATTGCTAAACTTTTTCTTTTAAAGAGGAGAACAGAAGCAAAAGAAAAAATTGCAGCTGCATTAGAAAAAAAGTACCTAATGTAATCTTATTTTGTTTAAATTTAAGAAAGGTTTTTTAACATACCATTAACCAATTTACACTATAAAAAAATACTAATATATTATTAATTAAACTTTACCACCTAACTAATGTTCCTATACTAAAATTATGAAAGATCTCATATTTAGATAGTTAATATATAAAAAAAAATATGTGTGATACATTTATTTAGTAATAATAATTTTACAATGTTTTTCGTTTTAAATAAAGAGATGTTTATTGAAAGTATCTATTAATAATTTGTTTTTGGTATCTTTTTCCTGCTGTAAGTTCTGGATTAATTTGATTCACATTGTTATTTACTGGTAAATCATTAATTATGCCCAAATCAATATCTTCCCTTTCATCGATATTTACTAATGGTAATTTATTTGTTATACAAATATTGTGCAATATGACACAAGCGTTAATAATACTAGCCGCCTTTGGTGGTGAGTAATGCAAAACTCTATGTTTAAGAAGACATCTAAAGCGCATTTTCAGCACACCATTGCAACGCTCGATTATTGACCTGGTTTTACAGAACCACTTATTGTACCGAGCTTCTGAACTATTTTCCTGTGGTTCATATATTGGTGTCATCAACCATGGTCTAAGCCCATACCCTGAATCACCAAGCATAAAATATGATGTTTGTCCAATTGAATGTAAATGTTGTAATAACTCTTGCACCACACTTAAACGCCATATGTGGCTATCATGAACACTTCCCGGGAACTTAGAGCATACATTCAATATTTTTAAATCTGAGTCACATATCTGTAATAATAATAAAATTAAATAAATATATGCATAATAATAATGATAAAAAATATTTAATACTTTTCATTAATTAACAAATATGAAAATAATTATCTAAGTGTATAAATCACCCTCCTGTATACCGTAATTTAATAATTCAATTGAAGACTACTGGGTAGGGAAATACCAGTGGGTTACCCCCTTATATTAAATATATTCAAAGACTCACTAGTTGAGTATTAATACTATGATAACCTTTTCGGTTGACATATATATGCTCTGGGTAAAGTTCATCTTCTGAATTTGGAGGAACAATAGCTATGTGTGTTCCGTCTACAACTCCAACAATTCCAGGAATTGAATACTTGTCATAAAACCTGTAGGGAAATATTTAAACTAATAAGTAATAATTTAATGTCTTAAATCCATAAGCTTACACAAACAAACTAACGTTAATAAAAAGTAGTAAATATAACTATGAGTTGAAATACAAGCAAAATTATATTTTTTTCCATTTTTCAGTTTTACAAAAATAATTTTTAATTTAATAAGTTATACTTATTAGCCAAGAAATAAGAATACAAATAATCAACAATCATATAGAAGTACATCCTAGTACTTAGGTACCAATTATAGATAAATTTGACCTCATAGAAAAATGTTAGTTCTTTCATTAGAGGTGATCAACAAAACTTTAATGAAAATAAAAACTTGAAAATTATTTGTACAAGTTGTTGATTATTTGAATTAATATTTATGAAGATTTTTCTATTTAAATAATTTATTAACTAGTCGACTCATATTAAAATGTAACTTACCCTCGACGAACAATATTGAGTTCTAACATATTAGCAGGAAAATGAATATACTTGTTCATAATCTGATAATTATTCAAAGCTTCAGTTACTTCTGTTAGACACCTGCTGACCGATGCTTGACTTAGTGCTGCACCTCTATGCTCACCTATATCCTGTTGGTAACTTCCACTTGCATAAAACCTCAAAGCTGTGAGTACCTAAGTATGAATATATAGTTTAATGAAACTAAAAATTAGGTACCCTTTAATGAATTATGATTGTTACAATGTTACCCATGTGGCTATGTAACATCTGAAATTTCCTTATTAGTTATTATAAAAATATAGTACCTAGGTAAAGTCACCAGCTATGGCCACCTTAAGCGTTTTTCTAGACAAATCATACTATTAAGTTTTACTAGTTAATAATTGAGCTTTGAAATTTTAATATGTGATCATCATAACAAGCATAATACTTAGTTAAAATTTTGGGTTAATGAAACAATTGTGTCTAATGAGAAACAATTTTAATGTAATGATGAATAACACTGTATCTAATGAGAAACAATTTTAATGTAATGATGAATAACACTGTATTTAATTATTATAAAAATAATTGTATACTTAACATGTTGATGGACATTTCACTTTATTATTTTTTTAAAAAACCCTCTGAAAATTGTCACATAGAAAAGTTTAAAATAGAGTGCCTGATTGTCCGATGAGATGTGGGGGTTCAAAATACATTTTCTTTCATAAGAGACAATTGAAAATATCACTGCTATAGCAATAATGACAATTTTTGGAAATTGTTGTTGTGAAATGTATTTACTACTACTGCTATATAGCAGTTAGTGACCACTGACGTCAAATTTGTGTTATAGCAGTACTGTCCATAACGTGTTAATTACTCAATTATGAATAAATAACTAAACAAAAATTATAGGTACCTACCTAAATATAATTTAATATTTTAAAAACCAAAATTTCAAATAGGTACAACATATTTACTATTAAGTAGGTATAAGTAGTATTATAGTAGGTACCTATGTATCTACCTAACATTTTGGTAACTTATAAAAACTGATCCAGTTATTTGAATAAATAGGTATATAACTAAAATCAGCAACTTTTAAACAATACCTAATATGAAAAGAATAATCAACACTTGGCAATTTTTAGAAGATAATAAAATAATATTATAAACTTAAAAAATTATTAACTACAAAAATTAAATAACTTTTCAAATGTATTAAGTTTTTGGTAGGTACCTACCGATATCAAAAACGATAAAAAATATTTACCATAAAGGCCTTTAATGTTAATTTTACTTAAGAGGATGTCACACTGGTCATTTTCAGCGGTAAAAACACGGCTACGAAAAACAAACGAAACGGCATTAAAAAGTGTTTTTAGAGTAAAAATACTTATTATGAAACTTATAGAGAACAATATATTGGAGGGAACCTCATCGGTGTTTTTCGAAATATTAATTATTAAAAAAGTTACAGTTATTTAAAAAATGTAAAAAAAAAGGGTTTTTGTGCCTTTAATATCTAGCTGTGTATTTAGATTAATACAAAACCCCGATGAGGTTCCCTCCGAAATATTGTTCTCTATAAAATTTATTATAGGTATTTTTACTCTTAAACCACTTTTTAATGGCTTTTCGATTGTTTTTCGACAGCATGTCTACGTCGTTAGATTTGACTTTTCATTGCCATCATGTGCTGCCACCTACCTGCCGTTGTGACCGCGGCCGCAAAGTCCCCCCACTACGCCAAAAAATGACTGTCTCGTACGGTCGCCGGTAATCGGCGACGAATAACGAGAACACTTCGACAAACGCTTCTGAGAATAGATTATGCGCCGATTATAAACCTTTATACATTCTAGAAATATGAATATAAATTATTGACATTTTATTATAGAAATAACAATAATGAATAAATACAATTATAACCAGGCAATCGACAATCATAGACGGTATTCCAAATTCCATCACTGACCTACTGGATAAGTGATAACTCATTTTATTTGTGTTCAATATTTTTTACAATATAATTACTACGGACATTCAAATATTTTCAGACAGTAGAAAGGTAGGTCGTAGGTACATCAAACTTCAAAGTATGCATAATTCGTCCAACGACAATAAATTCTAGTACCTAATCATATAAAATAAATATTACTCTACATAATAGTATACTACATGCTATAAATTATATTGGTATATTACTGTAATGTAAAAAACTTGAATCGATATTTAAATTAATTGGAACAATTATTATTATAACATGAGTATGACTATTATGATTTATGACTATGCCAAATAAAAAAAATGAGTTATAAATATAGACACCGTACTTAGTGATTACGAATTAGAACAGCGGAAGTAACAATATAAGACTACTAATAGCTGTATTTCCAGAAATATGTATACAAATTAAAAATAAATATTCAAGTATAATATTATTACTATAACTATTGTAATACTCGAGTTATCGTAAAGTAAACTCTGAAAAATAACCATTTCTTCTGGATGATTCAACGTGATCACATCAGTTGTGAACATTTTTATCACTTTTTTTTACAATTTTTCGGCTCTTCATTTTTCATTATGGCAAATAAAAAAAATGCGCTAAAGCGTAAACGATCGACTAAAAGTATGGTCACTAAGACACTTGCACTAAGACGGTCTAAAAAACCAAGGTAAGTCCCCTAAATTACATATTATTTATTTTAAAAATTAAAAACATTGTATTACCAATTTAAATTAAATTTTATAAGCTTAGTCTCCCGGTCTAAAACGAAAAAAATTGTTTTCATATATAACAAATTAACAAATGTCGAGTGTCGAGTGTACCTCGTCATAGAGAAGGTCACTGATCATTTGTAAAATGTCGATAAAAAAATTATACCACCCCAAAAATCTTGAACATATAAAACAAAGAAATTATTGAAATTAAAAAACGTGTTTGGAGTTCATATTTTAACACATCAATCAAACGAACCTATGACTCAATGACGAGGTCCACTCGACATCTACTATAATACAGTAGAGCGATTGGAACAAGTCTAGTTTAGCGGCCACTCGAATTTTTCGATTTTTTTTTCGGGAACCTATGTATTTTAACGAGTCTTAAACGATGGTGTAAAAATAAATTTGCGGAAACCATAAGTTTTGAAGTTATAGACTTACGAAGTTAACGATTTTCGGTTTTTTACACATACGCATGACACTATTTTTTTTACATTTTTACCGCTTTTATATAATGAATTTTTTGGGGAAACCTTTGTATTTAAACTTGTTTAAAACGATAGTGTAAAAATAAATTTGCGGAAATCATTAGTTTTGAAATTATACACTAGTTTAATCTAGTTTAAAGGCCACACAAATTACGACCCTGTCGATGGAGTTAGAGACGACACTTCTGTTGAGTGTGCAGAGTCGGAATCTGGAACCGGCTCTGAGGTAGAGTCTAGAGACGAATCCGAAACAATTTTTTTTTAGTTTTAAAATAAAATATAAAAATTGGTTTTACTTTTTGACAGTGTAACCTTGTATGGTTTTCAATGTAAAAAAAAAACGAAAAAATATCGCTTGACTTGCTATGCAACACAACTTCAAGTAGGTCACAGGGTAAGTTATGTTGTATAGTATGGGCAGTGATGCCTTGTTAGCGGCACTCGTCGCTCCGCTCCTCGGCGCCGTCGCTCCGCTCCGCAAATCGAAAATATCCCTCGACTTGCTATGCAAAACCACATCAAGTAAGTCACAGGGTAAGTTATGTCGTATAGTATGTGCAGTGATTACACGTTTTGCTCCTCGGTGCAGTCGCTCTGCTCCGCAAATCGAAAATATCCCGTCACGCGTATGGGTAAAAACCGAAAATCGTGAACTTCGTAAGTCTATAACTTCAAAACTAATGGTTTCCGCAAATTTATTTTTACACCATCGTTTAAGACTCGTTAAAGTACATAGGTTTCCGAAAAAAAAATCGAAAAATTCGAGTGGCCGCTAAACTAGACTTATGCCGAGCGATTATACTTACTTTTTTTTTAAATTAATAAAACTATAGTGATGTTGTTGAGGACAGAGATCCTGAAGAATCTTCAGTTCAAATTCGATTCAACAATGTTGATCAAAATTCGAGGTAATAACATTATTTTAGAACCTATAAATTGGTGTGTGTGTGTGTGTGTGTGTGTAATTTTATATTATTCATAATGTTGACACAATATAATTTTACCTATTAAATTACGAATAAGTATTACGATATTTTAGTTGTATTATTTATAAATTATGTCAAAATTCGAACTTTAAATGCTTATAAAAAAAATTTCCAACTTTTAACATTTCATACTTTTTAACTACAAAATAGCGTAGGTAATAAGAATTTATTTTCAGTTGAAGTATAGGTAAGGTAAGTCTACTATCAGAACTATCATATATTATGAAATATTAGTTATAACTAATACAATTTATTTGTTTGGTATTTTGTATCTATACTGACTGTATAATATACTCCTATATTATTTATAGTGAACCTAGTACCTCCATTGGCTCTACTAATGACATAGAAATTGAAAACATAGACTTTGTTACACCAATCCAGTAAGTAAGATTATTAAAAATAGTTAGGTATCTTATTATATTTGTTTTCACTTAGTATATAGTTTTCATTTTAGCTTAAATTGTAAAATCGTTTGTTAATTAGAATTTTGAACTAACCTATTGTACATTATATAGTTGGTAGTGCCAAACCTTTTATTATGTATTTTGTTTTTGAGACTTCACTTGTTATGAAATAATTAATTAATTAAAAACTTTAGATTTACTTTGTCACCTGTTCAAAATGTCCCAATTGTTGAATGTAATCAATCTTTTAATTTAAATGATATTGAATCCTACACATTACCAAGTGTTGATGAGGAAAATAGTAATACTGAGTAAGTATCAGAAAAAAACAAAAATCTCTTTGATTATTTTTATGTCGAATTTCGTTTTCGATTTTATTTTATTTTTTATTTTTATTTTTTATATTTAGCGTTATTACTGACCATTTATCAGGTAGACGAATTGTAGATGTTGATTATATTTTTAAACAAATCCAAAACAGTTCACATGGTGGTGGACTAGATTGTTCTTTTTTGAATATGTCTTTTGTCTCAGAAAAACGTTATGGTTTTTTTTCCAAATTCAAATTTCAATGCAAAATGTGCAACATTATAACGGTTATTTCTTCAGAACCATCTGATAAATCATATCTTCCCATAAATAAAGCCGTAACAAATGGAACTGTAGCAATTGGTAAATTGAAAAAAATAATAATATTGATTTACTTAATATACCTAAAATATAGAAGTAATATAATATATTACCTTATTATATTTTTTTTTGTCTTTATGTTTACTGATTAAACCACTATCAACATTTGATTTTTAAAGGGAAATATATCATAAAAATGTATTAAATTAATAATACAACTTTTGATTCTGAACAATCTGAACGGAGTGATTAATTTATGTTAATTTTAAAATGATTTTTTTTTTTTTT